CTGGAGTGGTGGCTCAGTGGTCGAGAGCACTCTCTCCGAGGACCCGAGTGTGGTTCCCAGAACCCATGCTAGGTGGCTCACAACCAACTGTAACTCTAGCTCCAGGAAATGTGACACCATCCTCTGGCCTCTATACATGCACACAGAGACACATAAATAAAATATTAAAGTTTCTTTTCAAAATACCCTGATAAAACAATCTAAGGAAGTATTTTGTCTTATATTTGGGGATGTATTCCATCATGATGGGGAAGTCAAAGCCGCATGTCACGTTGCAGGCAAAGTCAGGAAGAAGAAAGTAATGGATGCCTGTGTTCAGCCCACTTTCTCTTTCTCACTATTCCCTGGCCAGGGAAAGATCCTGCCTACAGTCAAGATGCATGTTCACATATCATTTAAGCCAATCAGGAAAATCCTTCACAGAGGCTCAGAGGCTGACCTTAATCTAAAGCAATGGTTCTCAACCTTCCTAATGCTGCCACCCTTTAGTACACCTTTTCATGTTGTGGTGACCACCAACCATAAAATTATTTTCATTGCTACTTCATAACTGAAATTTTGCTAGTGATATGAATCATAATGTAAATATCTGATAGAGGATATCTGATATGTGGCCCCTGTGAAAGGGGTCGTGACCCACAGGTTGAGAACCACTGAACTAAATGATGCCTCATAGGCATGTCAAGAGGTTTATCTCTCGAGTGATTCTGAATTCCATGAAGAAGGCAATTAAAATTTATTAACCATCAGATTGTGGATCTAAGTCCTGAGGAACAACCAATGATGTTGTTTTTTTTTTTTTTTTGTCCAGAATGGGAAAAAAATTGTATTAGAGGTACATGGTTAAAAATAGAAATAGAAGGGCTGGAGAGATGGCTCAGAGGTTAAGAGCACCGACTGCTCTTCCAGAGGTCCTGAGTTCAATTCCCAGCAACCACATGGTGGCTCACAACCATCTGTTATGAGATCTGGTGCCCTCTTCTGGTGTGCAGACATACATGGAAGCAGAATGTTGTATACATAATAAATAAATAAAATCTTTAAAAAAAATAGAAATAGAAGCTAGGTGGTGATGACACACGCTTTTAATCCCAGCACTCAGAAGGCAGAGGCAGGCGGATCTCTGTGAGTTTGAGGTCAGCCTGGTCTACAGAGTGAATTCCAGGACAGCTAGGGCTGTTATACAGAGAAACCATGTCTTGAAAAACCAACACACACACACACACACACACACACACACACACAAAGTAAATATATTTTTAAGTGAATGTACTCCCAAAGATGAGAGTGAGCGAGTAGAGTGGAAAAGGGTATCCACTTAAACATGCTGGTCTAGAAGGCTCTTGACTCATTTACATCAAACTTGCCTCTCCCAGGCCTGCCCTTTTCTCAAATACACTCCATTCTGTGTAGCTCAGGTTGGGAAGAAATTCTCGTCCTGCCAACTGCTTCTTTTATGTGAGATCTTAAAGTTTTATTATATTTTATTTACTCTGCATATGTGCATATGTCCCACAGTGTGTGTGGAGGTCAGAGGACAACTTGAGGAGTCAATTTTCTGTCTCCACCTCTGGGCCCGAAGGGAATGGAATTCCTGTACGCAAATGCCTTCAGCCATTGAGCCATCTTTTCAGTCCTTCATGTGTTAATAAACTTGATGCTGTTATCCCCAGCCTCTACCATAGCTCAAAGGAAGGACCAGATTTGAAGCAGGAATATGATTTTAGGTGGGAGATAAGGAGGGAATGCAAGAAAAATGAAGGGATTTGAGGAAAGAGAAAAGACAGAATAAACAGGACTTAAACCACATGGCATGTTTTTTTCTAACATGGGAGCCTGATCACATATCAATAGCATGCTATTCCACTAGGTGGTAAAGCCATAATGATTTTTTAACTGGTGATAAGTTCAGGCCAGTATGACTCTCTCTCTCTCTAATATAGCTTGTCTTTTAAATAAAGAAGCAACAACAATTGTTTTTGAAAGAGGAAAGAAAGAAGAGAAAAAAGAAAGAGAAAGAAATCCCTTCAGTCCCTGGGCTCTGCTCAATGAATCGGGCGGCTCTCAATAATGCCTCTTTCCTCCTTGGAATCGCATGTCACTTACCAAGGTTCATTTTAATTCCTCAGCCTGTGCTAAGAGAAATGGCTCACATCGACCCAACCGGCAGTAGAATTTAGATGTTTAGGGGTTCTCACCACTGCGGTACTTAAATTGAGATATGTCTCAAGATCTGCATTTGTAAATCCTATTTCTGAGAAACTGTAATAAATAAAGCCAAAGATTGAAATTGAATTCTTGTAAAAAGGAATTTAGGAGGAGAGCTAGGAAGCATCCATCCAATTGTGGAAGAAAGGATGCATTTAAATCTGGAGAAGGGGAGCCAGCCATCTCCCCAGCCGGACACAAGATACTGGGGAAAGTTACCAGTGGTGGGGATTGGGGTAGTGAGTGTACCCTTCTGGGGCAAGTATTACCAAGAAGTCCCAAAGAAGGAAGGGATGAACAAATTTAAATATGTTCTTAGCCAATTTTCAAGTTATTTTTTTAAGTCATATTTTACCAAAAAAAAAAAAGACTGAAATTTACCTATACTTAGATAACTCCATGGGATTATTTGTATGTGAGTTCTGCATTGAAATATCCATCAATGTTGCTTTCTAGTGCTGTTAGTTTGTTCTTGTTGTTTTGTCCAGTAGCAGAGACAGAACCCAGGACCTCCTGCAAGCTATGCAGCCGCTTTACCACCGAGCCCACCCCCACACCGAGGGATGTAGGCAGGTGTTCTACTACTAAAATACACCCCAGCCCTCTTTTTTTATTTTTTTTTGAGACAGTGTCATTAAGTTGCCCAAGCAGTACTTGAACTTGATGTGATCCTTCTGCCTCTGTCTCCCAAGCACCTAGGATGACTAAACTGTACCACTAGGCCCAACTCGTTGTTGCTTTGATCCATGGAAATGAATTCAAATGGGGTTCTGAGTGACCTAATCAGGTTACTAATCAGGGACACAGAAGACATTTGGGAAAGATGTTCCTAAGACTGCAGAAATGCACACCCTCAAGGGAAGGAGGAGGGAGCCCTCTGTGTATCAACAACCCGAGAGGCCATCTTTAGGGCTGGTGTGTGAATGGGGATCCTGGATAAGAAGATGGGGTGAGTCACACTATTCTCAAAGCCTTGGAAGATTGCTGTAAAGACAGTGACATCCTGTGTGTCTCACAAATACCAAGAATGTGACACAGGCTGGACATGTGGCTCAGTGCTAGAATACTCACCTAACTTGCACAAGGCCCCCTAACACGTCCAAGAGATGAGGTGCACATTACAACCTGAGATCCCTCAGAGTGTAACTTAGTTCCAGGAAGAGGACTTTCTCTCTCTCTCTCTCTCTCTCTCTCTCTCTTTCCTTTCCTTTCTTTCTTCTCCTCCTATTAATACCTAAGCTTAATACTCTTTTTAAACTTCATTTTGTTTATGTGTGTGCTCTCTCACTGGCTGGGCCTCACCAAGAGGGATGGGCTGGCTGACACAGAGGACTCTTCTCCCTCCACCTCCCTATAGTTAGGATTACAAGAGCAAGCAGTCAGGTCTGGATGTCATCATCTAGGGTTGAACTTAGATATTCTTTCTTGCACACCAGGTACTTTACCAACTCAACAATGTACCCCAGCACTTATGTTTATTATTTTTTAAAAGACATGCCATTTTTACTGTTTTTATTTGCATATTCACATTTATGAATGAATACTATATATGTAAATGTGCCCACAGAAGCCAGAAGAGAAACACACACACACACACACACACACACACACACACACACACCACACCATGAACAAAAAAAAAGAAGGGAAAATGAGATAGTTGATATCAGAGGAACCACAGCCAAGTTCTCCCAAAGGGCTCAACTAATAATAATAATAATAATAATAATTTTAAAAGCCTAAACAGAAATTGGACAAGGTCCCTGGTGGAGGGCCTCACTATCCCTGGGGAGGAGTTGGGGGATGGGTTAGGGAGGGTGGAGAACATGGGAGGATGGGAAGCTGAGGGAATGGCGGGGGATGGACACATAAATATGAGTAGTAATTAAAGAATTTTTTGCAAAAAGAAAAAAGTAAAATAAGAAAGAATAAAAAAACAAAGAAATTGAACAAGCCAGACATATTGAGATGTATTAGCTACTTTTTTCATTACTGTGACCTGGTAAGAAGCAGTTTAGTGAAGGGAGGGTTTATTTTGGCTCATAGTTCAGGGGTCAGCCCATTGTGGTGGGAAGGCAGGGTGGCAGGAGCGTGAGGCAGCTGGTCATGTTGATTCCTCAGTAAAGAAGTAGAGATGGATGCTGGTGCTTGGCCACTTTCTCTTTAGTCAGTCCTGGAGCCGTGGTGCCACCCAAATTCAAGGAAAGTCATCTGTCTTCAGTTAACCCAGTGTAGAAACCCCACTATGGACATGCCCACAGTTTGTCTTCTAGGTAATTCTAGATCCATTCAAACTGACAATCATATTAAATGTCATAGTTAGCTTTGACTGTCAAGTTGGTACAGTTTAGAGTCATGTGAGAGTAGAAGCTTCAGCTAAGTAATTGCCTAGATGAGACTGGCCTATGGGTATGCCTGGGGAATTGTCTTAATGGTTAGTTAATATAGGAGGGTCCAGCCCACTGTGGGTGGCACCATTCCCTAGGCAGATGGTCTTGGGTTGTATAAGAAAGCTATCTAAGCTTGACTCTCTGAGTGTACCAGTAAGCAGTATTTTTCCATGTTTCCTGTCTTCAAGTTCTTGCTAGAGTTCCTACCCCGACTTCTCTCAGTGATGAGCTGTGACCTGGAAGTGTAGGGCAGATGTACCCTTTACTCCTTAAGTGCTTTTGGTTGAAGTGTTTTGTCACATCAACAGAAAGGAAACTAGGACCTATGCTTTGGGGCTTGTGGAGAGTGCAGTGGCCTCTGGGATGTCTTCTGCCATACTGATCAAGTCCCTATGCCTCCAGGTGTGGCTCTGTGGTGGCAGCATGGAGGTCCTTCCTTGCTCAAGGGTGGCCCA